AGTGCCAAATATGAGCAGTTTTAATACTCTACCCTGGTATAGTGTTATAGAAAATCACTGGCTAATCCCATGTTTAGTCCCTAAATCCATGGTCAGGCTAGGAGGATACTGGCTCCCACTCCAGAGCTCCCACTTCCCTTCACCTGAAGGTTAACTCTCGCTTTAGTTTTTAAACACTAAGACTGAATTGGGGATTTTAGTCTGTCACCCTAAAGGTTCTCCAATTCTACACCCAATAAAGTATATTTCCATATTTATTTGCACTTAATTCCTTGAACGAAATTCTACTTCATGGAATCAAATGTGATCCTAACTCTGTTGTAGAACTCATACTCCATTTCCCGGATCATATGTTTCACAGCATATTTTAACAATTCAATTGGCTAGATCAAAAAGTTAATTATGTTCGGAGCTGAATCGACTTTGGCACCGTCGGCGCCCATTTTGGCGTCGTTGGCCCCAGTGTCCCGCAATTTAATTCGTCCTCTCTGTCAAATGGCGTCGTCGGCGCTATTTATGGCGTCGTCAGCCCTGAACAAATTTCAACTTCCTCATTTTTGCTCCAAATTTCATCATTTTGTGCTTTAAGTACTAAAATTCAACGACCTGTAAGAAAACATAAAAATACCTTCCATTAAAGTGCAAATACCCCAGAAATGAGTATAAAATATGGGTCTAAAAATGCATATATTTTTTGTGTATCACAACTCTACTCTCAAAGTCTCCTTGTAAGTTATCATACAAGTCTAGTTGAATATCAACTCTAAGACGATCTTCATAGTCCAACATTCTTTCCATACAAGCAATTAACCCTTCTTGCACCTCATCATCATTAAAAAAATTATCCTCAAAGCAAAATTAAAGGTTTAAATAATAACCAACTAAATGTAGTGGTTTATGAAGTTGGACTTGCCATTTTGCATCTATTTTCCTCTAAATAGGTCTATACTTCTTTTCATTATTCCCACAATTAAAAGCAAGTTTTTCTTTTGCTAAATCCATTAATTCATAATATAACCCATGACTGGCCTTTGTTCTGAGTCATCCTCTCTTAGAACATTTATAAGCAGCACAACACTTTTGACACAATAAGCAAGATGACCCCAAAAATGTCGATAAAACAAAATAACAGCTCGAGCATTTATAATTTTTGTCCTCTTTGACCATAGAATAGAACAACAAGCTTCTGAGGAGAACATTGTCTGAAGTGGTTGTTTCAGCTTGTAAATGCTTTGATGTTGTAGTAAACTGTGTGATGCTAGATAAACAAGTTCCATCTCCTTTGTAAAAGATCTCATCAAAACTAGAACCCATTTGTGCCCATAAATGATTTTGACAAGTTGTTTTGCTTTTGCAAGTGCACTCTCGTGAATCTTCAACTTTCCAATGTCTTTTAACATTAGGTCAATACAATGTGTTGCCCATGGTGTCCAATAAATATGTTCCTTTCTTCATTTATTTTTTTACCCGCATTCACATAGGTTGACCTATCATATATTATAATTTGCACCATATTTTTTTCTCCAACTTCCTCAATCTTGTCATCCAAATAAGCAAATAGTAAATCACCACTTTTATAGCATTAGAAGTATCCACATATTTAAGAAACTATGTCTCAGCTGGATTATTACAATAAAATTAATAAAAAAAAGTCTACTTTTTCATCTGTCCAATTGTATGACGTAATCGAGCACCCATCTTTACTCCATTTCTTTTTATGCTACTCCAACATCTTATTGATTGTAGCAATCTCTTCTTTGAGTATCCAAGTTCTCAATTCATGCATTGTAGGTGGAGTAAAACCAAGTCCAAAATTAGCAACTGCTTCAAACATAAACATGTAGTATGGGTCATTGGCAACATTAAACGTCAATCCGACTGAGTAGGAGAGTCTACCAATTTCTACATGTTTCTTTTTTCCAGCTTTTTTTACACTTAGAATTTAAAGTATAATTCCTTATTTGTGTTGTGATGAAAGAATCCATTGAACCTCTAACTCTAGGTGGCCTCTAGGAAGAGTCAACTAAAGATGAATTTGTAGCACTTTGACCTTCACCAATATTTATTACATTGCTTCTAATATCACTTAAAACACGGTCGCGTTGTGTATTGACTTTTGTATCGTCTTCTAACGTTTTCTTGCATCTCTGTTGAACTTCAGAAGGGGCTTCTGCACATGGCTTAGTGCCCTTGTGTGTGTCTGCAAGATGTTGCTTCATCCTATTTATTTTTTCACTACACACTTGATTACAAAAATGACATCTGAAATATTTTTCATTTGGTGTGCTTATTGTATATTACAATGCAAAGTCTTTCTTGTTACTACGACTACTACCGGCTACACAGTCCTCCCATTCCATAACAAGTTAATAACTAACCTAATACATTAAAAAAAATCAAATCAAATCTACCTTTGGCTCTAGCAAATTGCAAACATGAAAAAAATTTGTAGTTACTATGAACATAAAAAAAAAAATTTAGTTTATCGTAGCCAAAGTAATCTCGAGCAAATCTTCAACATGAAAGGAAAAAAAAATTTGAGGTTCACTATAGCAGGTATAGTGAAATTATTGTAGCTACAGTAACCTCACTGTACCTACAGTTCATAAAAGCATAAAAAATTTGGTATAAAATCAAATTTGTGAGGCTACATCGCAAATAGTAACCAAAATATCGCAAAAAATTACCAAAAAACACAGCCCAAATGTTTTCATTACAGTGAAATGATAAATTAAAGAATAAAGTATAATTTTACTATTTCTATACTACATAAATCACAAACCTCACTTGCTGCAGGCAGGATGAAGATGATGTGCAAGAGCCTAGGCGGGATGAAGATGATGTGCAAGAGCCTAAGTGCAAGAAAAAGATGGCCTGTGTTTGAGATGAAGATGTGACGTGATGAAGATGATGCAGACGATACAAGTGCAGGAATAAACTGTAAGAAGGAGAAAGCGAAAGAAGAAGAAGAAGAAGTCAAAGGAGAAAACCTGTCGAGTTTGAACTCTGCATGTGATGAAGGAAGCAGAGAGCATGTTGGATAACTACGTGCGGCTCAAATCAAATAAAATTTTAAAGTTAGAGATTTTCACCCTTTTTACTCGATTATGAGATGAGGCGTAAGCCCCGTGAGGTGTGTATGGCACTTTGCTTCTTCTCGGATGTAAGCCCCACGTAATCTACACCCACCTCGTCGGCTTGGAGCAGAAATCCTTACGCCCCACCCCAAGGCGCCCCCTAGTGCGCCCCCACAAACGTTTTTTTTTAAAGCAAAGTTTGTAGCCCACACAACCAACTACTACTATGGCTTTCAACTAAGGCTTAATCACAATCTACAACATTCAGAGTGAACTACTGCCTCCATAACAATTGACTATGGTTCTTGTAACCTTCTATCATCGAGAAAAATGTTCATTACGACAATATTATGGCTATTATTGATGAACTACAATTGTATATTTACAATGATTAACTTTGTAACTTTATCTTTCTAAATTTAGAAAAAGAGTAGACTTGTGTACTCACAATTTATATTGAATTCTTTCTACTAGGCTAGGCCTCGTGGTTTTATCTATTTTCCCGGGTTTCCACTTAAAAAGTCAATGTCTCCTCCAACTTATTTCCCTTTAATTACCTGGTGTGTGTTGAATTTTCATCTAATGCAAAGACGATAAATAATTACTCTACCATCACAAATTTTCCAGCACGTCTCAACTATTTTGTTAATTTTGTATTTTCTTAAATATTTGGTATTCTTAAGTGGGTACTGATGTAAAGAATACTCATTAGATAGCAGTTATTTGTGAATAGCTCGTGTTTGGTAAGCTATTGATCGATATTCAGACCTTTCGTTATGCAAGCAAGCCAACACAAACAAATTATTTTTATTTTTTAAGAAATAGTTTTTGACCCGTTTTAGATCAAAACAATTAAATAATCATAATATACATTTTTTTAAAATTAATTTTATTATGCCTTTTCAAAAAAAAGTTAAATATTATGATTAAATCATTCAATCTAATTTTAAGCCAAACATAAGTTGAAATGAATTAAAGAATTCAAATCAAGCGAAACATTAACATATTATTCATAACATATTATTCACAAGCTGTCTCAAACATGGACGCATTTGAAACAAAAAAAAAATTCAACAAACTAAACCCAAATAAGCATTAAGGTCGTTCAACACTACAAAAGTCATAGCACATGGTGTTTACAGCCTGAGGTGCTCAAGGCAGTTAACGGGCTATTAAAACCTGTCAGGTATTTGTCTTCCTAACCTCTTTGAATAAAAACATTAAAGATAATCATCATATTCCAATTAACTGATATTTAGACAACATATGAAAATGCTTGGCCATCTCAATGTTTCACTTCTAATAAATGTGAAATATTGTAAAACAATAGCACTGGATCAAACATAACATTTGACGGAAAGAAATTATATTTAATAACACTGAACCACATAATATACACAAACAAAGTGGTTCGGGAAACAGGCATCAAAATAAAGGGCGATTCACATAAATGCCACAATTTTTATTTATTTATATAACTACTACTAAAAACATTATATTTATATACATTAAAGATAAATCTAAAATATAACATCAAAAATATTATTATTACTAATTATTTAAAAATAAAATACATCTTTTCATCTTTAAATTTTAATATAATTATGAAAGAAAAATACTATTTATAGATGAAAAGATGTATTTTATTTTTAAATAAATAATTAGTAACAATAATATTTTTGATGTTATATTTAAGATTTATCTTTAATGTATATAAATATAATGTTTTTAGATGTCAGATTTATAAAATAAAACCACTCAATTCTTCCGTATGTACACCTCAAACCAATAAAATTTGATATTTATGCATTTAACACTCAAATCTTTAACAAAACATCAAAAATACTTCCCTTATTTTCTAAATTAAGTTAAATACACATTCATAGATTTTGACATGATTATGACACTAAAATGTCACATAAGCAAATATAAAACTTTAGAAGTTGATATATAATACATAATATTTGTATGATATACATGTAAATTTTTCCAAAAATAAATCTAGAACATGCTTGCAGAAATTGTTTCTTACCTATCAAGATTACAAAATAAGTTGAATCTCAATGACTTAAAATGCACATCTTTTCCGCTTCAGCGTCATCAACTGCTTCATCACATACGAAATAGCCTCTTTGAGAGTTGCTCTCCGTCCCTCCCTATAGCTCCAGAGTTCACTGGTGACATATCTACCACTTGGATTATACTCATTAATCTCCAATAAGGCTAATGCCACAGCCCCATAAACCTCGTCACCCAGTTCGCACCTTAAAGCGACCAACTTCTCATCATTCTCCTCTATGATCTCCTACAGGATGAATCAATTGTCGAATCTTAAGGGATCTACCAAATTAAATTTATAAATTTTCATATCAAGTATTGCGTCTATTATTAGGCAGATTCCAATGTTCCATATTTTCAAAGAACAATCATAACATCATGATAAGTTACCAATAAAATCTACATAATCAAGCCTGAATCTCAACACATTAAAAGTTGAAAACATTTGGAATCGAACTCAAGGCTGTCCAAGTGGCTGACACTGATTTTGTCAATAAATGGTCGAATCCAACGTCTCAATGAGACAAATCCAGAGATGTCAAAAGTGAAATGATCCAAAAGTTCAAATAAATCTGATAAAACACATCAAACAAAGTTGAAAGCTTTAAGACAATAAGTGGATGACCAAATTATCTTCAATGGTCAAATTGAGCTTCTCGATAAAACGAGAGTTCAAGATAGCTTAATTTTGACATCATTAAGTCAATAAAATACTCAAATTACACATTATAATCAAGAAAATCACGAGTCATCTAATAGTTTCTAGAACTTTGCTGGTATTCACTAACAATTTCACTCTCAAAATCGAGGACTCACATCATTGTCAAATAACTATTGCCAAAATAATGCCACCATCCAAAGATTATTACATACCTATATCCTAAGATTGTCATTGTCGGAGTGCCACTACAGAATTACTATCATTAACCGTTGTCACCTGACCATCACTATCAAATCGCTGCCCAACTACAATTGTCAAGCCACTACCCAACCACTACCATCAAACCACCGACTAACTGCAATTGTTAAATTATTATTGCCTGGACATCTCTATTAGCATAACATGTCCTAGACATCACCATTTGTTTTTGTCAGACAACTGTAGCCCAACAACCACGATTCAATCATTGTCATCGAATTGCCGCCACTATCAAGCAAGCACCATCTTAAGCACTACTGTTAACTCGCTACCAATACAACACTTTCATGATTTGATTACAACCTGCAGATCATCGTTGCTCAACTATAGTCTTATGATCATCATCGTTTGTCCGTTATTAGTATAATATAGCATCTAACCATTACTATTTAACATAGATGGACCTTTGGCGCCTAACAATTATTATTAGAATATAGTCTTCTAATCATCATTGATTGACTATCACCGATCGTTGTCATCGAACTACAACCACTATCAAGCAATCACCATCTTAACCACTACCGTCAACCTGTAGCCATTACAACACTTTCATCATCTGACTACAATTCGCAGATCATCATTGCTCAACAACAATCTCCTCACCATCATTGTCTGCATTTATTAGTATAATATAGCCTTCTAACCATCATTGTTTGACTTACCACTAATGAACCTTTGGAGCCTTGCCACACCCAACTACTATTGCTTGGCCATCTGTGTTGGAATGCCACCTCTTAGCCACCACCATTAATCCGCCGCCACTTGCTTCCATCAAACAACTATAGCCCAACAACCATGCGTTGATTGTCTTCATCATACTATTGCAACTATCAAGCAATCACCAGCTTAACCACTACCATTAACTTGATGCAATCACAAGACTTTCATCGTTTGACTGTGTCTGCAGCTCATTGTTGCCCAACTACGGTCTCCCGACCCATCACCATTTGAAAATACTAATAATGTTAAACCTGAACATTATTAGAATAATATAGCCTTCTAACCACTATTGTTTAACTATCACTGATGGACATACAGCGCCTAACCACAACCAATTACTATTACCTAGCTATCTCTAACCAATTACTTGAATACCGCCACCATCAGTCCGACGTTCTTTATTATCGTGAGACAACTATAGTCCAACAAGCATGATCCAACCGTTGTCATCGAACCGTTGTCACTATCAAGTAATCATCATCTTAACCAATATCGATAACCCACTGACATTACAACACTTTCATCATCTGAATAGTCTGCAGATCATTACTACCCAACTACATTCTCCCAACCTTCTTCGACTGACCATTATTATTATGGACTCATGTCGGAAGATTCGCGGTAGTTGAGTGATAATTTAATGTCTTAGCATTGCACAAAGATCAAACACACACACAAATAAAAGAAAACGAGCAGGAGACACCAAGATTTCTTACATGAAAAATACTCTTGACATAAAAAAAGTCACAGCGCATAACCCAATCAAAGTAATTCATTATAAGATTGTAAGTACATAGATTGACACTTCTCCTGAATTAAAGCGGATAGAATTACAAAGTTGATAATCACAATAGTACAGTAGTCATCCAAATTATATAGTTGGTCATCCAGATTTAATCACAAATGTACAATATTCATCCAGATTTAATAGTTGTAGTGGGCTACAAATGTCACAATCAATTACTATAAAGCATTAGTTTACCGCAAATACTAGAATCGATGGTTGCGATAGCATCAGTTGACCACAGAGGCCATAATTGGAAGCAATAGTAGCAGTTGATCACAGAAGTTATAGTTGGAAGTTATAAAAACAATTAGCCACATAGGTCATAGTTGGTCACATAGGTCGTAATTAGAGGTTGTTGTAGCAATTAACTAGACAGGTCATTATTGCTCCACATAGATCATAGTTGGAAGCTGTAGAAGTCGTTAACTACAGAGGTCGTAATTGGTCACATAGACTATGGTTGGTAAGTGCAGTAGCGTCAGTTGACCAGAGAGGCCACCATAATTGGTAGTTGTAAGAGCGTCTGTCGTAGTGGAAGGCTGCAATGACAGCAACTAATCACATATGTAATGAGAGCAGTTAGCCACGTAGATCATAGTGGGTCGCTGCAAAAGTGTCAATTGGCCAGACATGCTGCAATAGTTGATAGTTGTATGAGCGCCAGTTAGCCACAGAGGCAGCAGTGGAAGTTTGTAATGACAACAGTTCATCACATATGTCATAATGAAATACTGCAATGATAGCAAGTGATCACATGTAATGACATATGTTAGCCACGTAAGCCGTTATGGGAAGCTACAGCAGTACTAATCACATAAGCAGTAGTGGGTCACTGCAAGAGCGTTAGTTAGCCATAGAGATTGTAGTGCAAAGCTCTAATGACAGCAGTTAGCCATGTAGGTCCTAGTGGTGACATGCAACTGTAACTGGCCACATAGGCCATAGTGGGTCACTACAAGAACGTCAGTTGGCCTTAGAAACTGTAGAAGAAGATTGTAATTACAATAGTTAGTTATATTGGCTGCAGTTAAAAATTATAGTAGTAACTGGTCACATATGTCATAGAGGGCTACTGCAATAGCATCAATTAGTCACAGAGACTATAGTGAAAGGTTATAGTGACAGTAATTACCTACATAGGTCATAGTTGAAAGCTATAGTAGTAATGGGCCACATAGGCCATACTGGGTTGTTGTAAGAGCATAAGTTGGCCACAGAGGCTCCAGTAAAAAGCTGCAATAACAACAGTTAGCCACGTAAGTCATAGCGGGAGGCTACAACAGTAAATGACCACTTAGGCCATAGTTAGTGCGACACCGGTTGGTGCCTGCATCCCTTAACTCAAGTTTTATTATTTTATGCCAAAAACAACATATTTGTCGATACGATGTAAAAAAAAATTCATGAGTCCAGAGAAAGTCCACTCATTTTGAATATGGTTGTTGTAAGCAGTTGTTGCTGGGAGTTATCACCAACTTCTTAGATACTTCCTTACACCATATTCGAGACACTTCATTATATCGTATTAGGGATATTTTGTAAGTAAATAAAGCTCTTCAATGACAGCAAGCAGGCGATAGTCGATGGTGGTCCACGACAGGTAACGGGCAGTGGTCGGCAGTGATCGATAGGGTTAAGGAGGCCAAAAGTTATCATCGAGTCTTCAATCCAAAATAACATTGAACAGTTTTTTCTCCCCTCCCCCCACCCACCTCAAGAGAAGATAGGGGTTCTATTTTAGCTTTTGAGGGGTGGCATTTTGGTCATTTGGTGAATAACTCCTGTAGCCATGTGATCATATGGCCAATATTGATCCCCATGGATCAAATGGAATTCTTTAATGATTTGAGTACCTGACCAAAGAATCAAGGGAACTTAGGCTCATTGAACTTCTCTCATCGAGATATTTGATTTGAATGTAAATATGTCAAATTTAGAATTCATTTGATCATCCAATTAATGATCTGAAGCTTCCAAATGTGCTTTGATGGATTGAAGCGTGCTTGATCGGACTCGGATACGACCAATTTTGGTATGACTAGGTTAGTCTTATCGAGAAGACCAGTTTAACTATAAACTTGTTAAAATCGAATCTCTGGAAGATCTTGAATTTGAAATGTTTTTTTTCTTGAAAAATGCCTCGAGATTTGTACCAAATAATAAAAATTTGTTGACAACGTATCAAGTATAATATAGCCTTCTAAGCACCATTGTTTGACTACCATCGATGAACTTTTGGCGCCTAACCACACCCGACTACGATCATTCTCACACCATCACCAAACTATTGCATGAATACAGCCTCCCCACCATTGTCAGTTGAGTAGGGCCTTGTGTTTACCATGTCCTGACTATTAAGGATGGCAGGGAGATCATAGTCAAGTTTGAAGTATTCTAAAGCATTACCCAACTCACGTTATCAGAATGTTTTCGCTTAGTTGCCACTGTCATAATTTCATTGCCCTATTTTCACAGTCAAATAGTTGCTACTCAATTGCCACAACCATTGTCAAACCACTATTGTCGGACTAACGTCCCCTATCATCATCATCAAACCGCCACTACCTCATCGTCAGAGTTATTAGATAGACGCAATCTGACCACCACCAACATAACTAGCATTGCTTGACCGCCAATGTCAAACTGCCACTATCCAACCACTACTTTCAAATTGACATCGCCCAAACACTACCCAAAAAGTGATCACCTGATTGTCACCATTTGATTCTCTATCAAAGTACAGTTGCACGATCCCAACCTTCTTTCTAGGATAGCAATCAAGAAATAGTTGTTGTTAGACCACCCTTGCTCACTACAACAT